GGGTTGCAACCTGGCCAAAGAAACCAGCACCTCATCAGGCTTCCCTGAGCGTCACAGCTCGGTGATCGCGCCGGCCGGACACCACTGTGACGTCCGTTCCGGGCATTTGAACGCGACCTTCGGGGGCAAAGACATGGGCTCTGTGGCTCAGACTGGACTCCTCTTGGTCCCTTCTGATGCCCTAGGCCACACCTGGGCCTTACCTGGGGTCCTAGGGGCCGGGCAGGGTTTGCCCCCCCCAACTGGCCCGGGGAACCTTAAGGTCTGTCTTTCCCGCAATTTAACTCACGTCCTTTTTCTCTGAGCCCTGGCCTCGATCGACACCCTCGACACCGGGCCTCGACACCTCGACACCAGGGCTCAGCTTTTTCTTTCCTTTTTTCGCTTCATGTCTCGAGGTTTCAAGTGGCTCGCTTTTTAGTAGTTAAAGCTCCGTGCCAGTCGTGCGAGCGAGTAAGTTGTAAAACTCTTCCTCATCCGGATGACTCATCGATCGATCGATGGATGTTGCTGCTTTCCGCGTTGCTGATGCCCTGCACTCCTTTCCGGATCGGGCCGACCCGTATCGAACGTGAGCTGGCAGAGTTAGAGCAGGCTGCTGAGCAGGCCGGGCTCGACGGTGTGAGGTTGCCATTCGAGCTGGACCTGGTCCCGGCGATGTTTCAGCATCTCCTCTCGACCGGCGCGCTCAACCGGCGACATGTTCTCTATCAATCGGTCGATCGCTTTTGTGCAGAGGCGCTCGGGCTCGAATCAGAGCTAACGAGAGCTGACCCGTCGCGGTACGACACGCTCCTCGAATTCGGAAAGACTCTGGTCTCAAGATTTGGCCGCGGCGCCAACGCGTTGCTGCACGGTGGATGAGGACGAGCCGGTTGTCCGGGCGAGTGTCGCCCTCGCCCTGCGACGCGAGGACGTACGGCATCTTTTTGGTGTTGGCATGCAGCTTGTCGAGCATGGTCTGCGCGGCGGCGACCTGCTGCATGCGCAGCTTGCCTTGCTCCTCCTCGTCCTCCTCCATGTCCTCGTCTCCGGGCGCCGCGTCCGTCGCCGCCTTGGCCTTCTTCTTCTTCTTCTTCTTCTTCTCGGCCGGTGCCTCGCGGTCGCGCTTCTCCTTTGAGCCTGTGCCGTCGCCCATCGCTGGCGCCTTGGGCGCGAGCTTACGAGCGAGCTCACCCGCTGAGTGCGCCACGCTCAGCGGAGCCGCCACTTCCAACGTGCCGAACAGGGGCGCGTTCTGCTGCTTGCTCGGAATCTCGACGACGGCCAGCCACATGTCCGAGCCGAGGTCGGATGGCCGGGACCACCAAACGGACATGACGCTCTGAAACACCTTCGGCGTGTTGACAAACGTCGCCGACTCGTCCTTCGTTCCCTCGGGAAACGCGTAGATTTGCAGGCCGTTTGACGCGTTGATGGACCACGCCTCTCGGATATCAGAGCACAGCGAGTCGTACGTGTGCTCGTCCTCCGCCGACACAGACAGCACATAGTTGAAGCCGGGAACCCTCTTGAAGTCGGAGACGCGCAGGTCAACCGACGAGGGCTTCTGGCTCATGAACATCCTCATCCGGTAGGCCATGGTTGGCTGGTAGTAGCTACGCGGCGCGGGGCGGGCGCTCCAAAAAGAAGAATTTACCCTACGCCGGGTTTATCGCGGCGTCCAAAAGAAAAATCCGTGACACATAACAGCTGTTATGAGGTTGTTATGCTGGCTGTCATAACAACCAGTGGGATGTGTTATGAGTGTTATGAGGTGTTATGAGGTGTTTTATGAGGTGTTATGAGGTGTTATGGTAGGGTGGGCATAACAGCCATAACAGCGATGGAGGTGTTATGAGGTGTTATGAGGTGTTATGGGGTGTTATGAGCAGCCAGCCATAACAGCCATAACACCTGTTATGGCCACTCCCATAACCTTGTCTGGGGACAATCGCACCGCATCGCCGACGCTCACATCTCACAATCGACCTGCGCTCTATTCTCGCGCGGGCGGCAGCCGGGCGGCGGCCTCCTCGCCATCGGCCTTCAGCGCAGCGATGGCCTCTACGGCGCCTCCACACTCATCGAGGTAATACGCCGCCTCCGCGAGCCCAACGCCGCCGCGCCGGCACACCAGTCGCAGCGCCTCGGCCCTCTCCGCCTCTGGCGTTGGGGGCGGGGCTGGCGCGACGTAGAGGCGCTGGCCGGCGTAGACGCTCGGCGAGAGCATCTTGTTCCAGCGCTTCAGCTGCCCGACAGTCATCCGGTGCCGCAGCGCGATGCTGGAGAGCGTGTCCGCCACCGACACAATGTACACGGCGGCGTCGTCGGGCGCGCCCGTCGGGCAGGGCCGCCCCTCGACGATTGGCACGCCCTTGGCAACGGGCACGTCAGTGGAGCCTCGCCGGCGCAGGCCCGCGCTGCCACCGGCCTGGTCGAGAGCGGCCTCGGTCGCCGCGCACTGGAGGTGCAGCGCTGCAGTGCGGCAGCCCTCACTGCGCTCGACTTCAGAGTGGCAGCACGACCAGCGATTGGAGAGGATCAGATGGCCGCCGTGGAACTTCCCCGGGTGGTAGACGCAGGCCTCGTCGGCGCCCGCCTCGTACATTCGGCCGCAGCGACGGCACCGAGAGAGCATGCCACAAAATAGTCCCCACAGACACTGTCGTGGGATCGCTTCTCATCGGGGAGAACAAACAAAATTAGATTTGTTTGGTATTGTTAGCGCTCGGACCGATGTTATGAAACAAAAGCAAGGCGGACATGGCATATCGCTCTCGGGCCCACAGACATCAAAGCGCGCGCGTGAACAGGGCTCCAGGCCCCAAATGACGTGTGAGTGTTAGAGTTGTTTGGTATTGCGCCGTCTCTCCTCGCCATCTTGACGACGGAGTCCGTCATCTTCTCCAAACCCGCCGCCAAATCGGCAGCAGTGCCAGCCCCGGCAGCCGTCTTTCGCTCCTTTCGTCGAGCCACAACGTATTTGTCCGGACCGTCGAGGCGGGCATCGAACACTCGTTCGAGCATCGTGGATGACGCCCTCACCGGCGCCCCCGCGTCGTCGTTGGCTTTGTTCGCCGCCTTGTCTGCTGCCACCTTCCGCAAATCGAGCTGCGCCCGCACTGCCGCCATCGCGTTCGTCGCCTGCGAGGCGACCTTCGCCACCTTGGCCTTCCTCTCCCGCTCTGCCGCCGCCTTCCGGTCCTCGCGGCGGTCCGCCAGCGGGTTGTCTCCGGCGTCAGCAGCCACGATCATGGCCGTGACACCCTCGCCTGCCATGCCGAATCTCGGCCGATTGACGCGCGTCCCAAAAGTCGCCAAAAGTGGCGGCGCGTCGCAATCACCCGCCCGCCGTCCCGGCGGTCCCGCAGCTCGCGCACATCTCCCTCTTAACCCACCTGTAACATCACATTAAGGTATTGCTAAAAATCTCTCGGGGAGTGAGTTCTTTACCAGGTTGCAACCCTAGTCTCGCACTGTGCTGTGTGTCTTGGGTCCGTGGTTGTGTTTTTGTGTGAACAGAGCCGTGGTTGTGTTTTCGTGTGGGACCCCGTGTTGCATGTCTGACTGTCTGTGTGCGATTTCGGGCCCGGGGTTGTGCGTTTATGTGAAACCACTCGCAACAGCTCTCGCGCGCCGCCGTCAGTGGCGATGCGCAAAACATCAACAACGCTGCTCGCAACATGCGTGTCGCGCACTCATTCATGACCGGTCTCAATGCCCCACCCCCCTGCGCGCGGGCCTTCTAAGCCCGCGGGTAGTCCCCCCCCATCCCCAGGGCCTCCAGGGCTCGCACCTCAACCTCTCACAGGCCAGCGCACAGCGCCATAAGAGGTATTTTCTTCTCAATAACAAGGCTGTGAACAGAGCACCAACCAACAAGAAATCACGACTCTCACAGTG